CTTGACTAGGATGACAGATGCTTGACAGGAAGTGACTAGCGAGACGGACTGCTTGACAGGCAGAAGTGACTAGGGGATTGAACAGATGCTGACAAGGGGAGTGACTAGGATGAAAGATGCTTGACAGGGAGAGTGACTAGGATGACGATGGCTGGACAGGGAAGTGACTAGGATGACGATATGCCTTGACAGCGGAAGCTGACTAGGATGATGAGATGCTGGACAGCGGGAGCTGACTAGGTATGACAGGATGCTGACAGGGGAGTGACTAGGATGACAGATGCTTTGCGACAGGGGAGCTGACTTTAGGATGACGGATGCTTGACAGGAAGTGACTAGGATTGACAGGATGCTTACGAGGACAGGATCAGTTTGACTAGTGCTAGATGACAGATGATGACAGAGGAAGATGACCTAGGATGACAGATGCATTGACAGGGAAGTGACTAGATGACAGATCTTGACAGGGAAGTGACTAGGATGACGGATGCTGACAGGGAGTGACTAGGATGACAGACTGCTTGACAGGAGTGACTAGGATGACAAGATGCTGACTAGGCGAAGTGACTAGGCATGACGGATGCTTGAAGGGAGTGACTAGGATGACACAGTGCTTGACAGGGAAGTGACTATGATGTACAGATGCTTGACAGGCGAAGTGTAGGATGACGAATGCTTGACATGGGAAGTAAACTAGATGACAGATGCTTAGGAATGACTGCGAGTGAGCTATGTGCAGCAGGAATGACTGTGAGTGAGCTATGTGCAGCAGGAATGACTGTGAGTGAGCTATGTGCAGCAGGAATGACTGTGAGTGAGCTATGTGCAGCAGGCCACGCGACTAACCTGCTTGTGAAGGTCCGACATCTGCTGATGACGCAGCAGCATCTCCTTGCTAGAGAACTGCCGCCGACACAGAAGGCATGCCAGCTTGTCCCAGTCCGTTATCTTCGCCTCTATCCCACCAGGGGCCGCCACCGCCGCCGCCGCCGAAAAGTTCACCAGTGGCGCCATCTCTTCGACCTGTGACTCTTCCTCGGGCTCCGAATCGTCGCCGTAGTCGTTGGCGACGAGGGAATGCGCGGGAGGCATATTCTTAGGACGCATGCCAAGTGGCGGCGGTGGCGGCATCAGCTGTACATTAAAATTATATTAAATTTTACATTAATGTATTAATACATATTATCAGGAGTGAATAATTATACAGGCGTACGACTCGCTCGAAACATCAGTTGCAAATCCCTGCCGAACCCCCGCCAATGGGTGTTTGAGAGCAAGCTGCCTTTTGTTCGCTCTTCCAGTGTGGGAATGATGGACACTTAGCAGTATATTAGCTGTATAACTACATAGTAGTGTTGTCAATCGGTTGTAATTTCGTAATCGATCATCGGTTGGACCCAAGTAACCGATGATCGGTTACAATCGGTTACTTGAGGTGTTGAATGCCTGCGCGTGCGTAACGTCGTGTTTATGTACGTGTGTGCATGTATGTGCTTGTTTAGCCCTGTTACTGTTTGTTTTGCACTGTTTACTACCGTGTATATAATACATGTATGTTAATAAAGGATAACTTGTATAGTAGCAATGCTATCTCTGATTCTCATCACTTTTCCAAGTTTTCTTGTTCAAGTTTTAAAAAAAAAAATCGATTACTATGTCAGATGAGCTAATCATAGGTAAATTTGGGCATGGAAATGTTGAATTTCTTGTGTTTCGAGCAAGTCATACTCCTCTATTATTATTCACTCCTGATATTATTGTTATTTATTACGTATTGAACATTAATGCCATCACCTGTGCAGTGACAAACACGGAGAGGGGAGGGTCATAAGGAGAGAGAGAGAAAAATGAAAGGGAAAGGGTTAGGAACCACACAAACCTTTGTATCATGTTCGTTCTTCTTGGTGAGGAGAGCGAATCCGGCATCCGCTGCACCACTCGTCTTCTCTCCTTCCGACATGTGCTGTGATAACTGCTGCGGTCCCACAGGTACGAACCTACAGCACAGAGAACACAACATCAGCTGCCATGCCACCCATACACGCAGTCTATAACATACTGCGGTCCCACAACGAATGCTTGACAGGGAAGTGACTAGGATGACGGATGCTTGACAGGGGAGTGACTAGGATGACAGATGCTTGACAGGGGAGTGACTAGGATGACAGATGCTTGACAGGGGAGTGACTAGGATGACAGATGCTTGACAGGGAAGTGACTAGGATGACAGATGCTTGACAGGGAAGTGGTGGGGTAGGTGACAGCAGTTAATCGTGCACACACCTCGACTGGTTTGACAATGCCGTGATTCTTCTTGCCTAGACCTTGGCCTGCCTGCCAGCCCATCTTCTGCAGCAGCTGGCTACCTATGTTGTCACCACCGATGCCCTCCTTAGTCGGCTGCTCATACGCCGGCGCCCTGAAACACCCACAACCCACCGTCAGGTGGCACCACCAACAATGCAACCGACCGTGGAGGGCGTTGTCATGGTAACCACATGATGGACAGAATGCGTACAGCCATGGCAGGAAGGAATGTTCACAGACACGAAAGGAACGAACACATCCGTCAGGAAAAAGAAACGTAAACAAGTAAGGAACGTACATAAGAAAACAAGATAAGGGATTTGATCAGCATAATTAACGAAAAAAATCTAGCCCACAACACGACACAGAGAGGAACCTATATGGATGTGGTAATGCACACAGCTACAGACGACAGAGGAAAGTAAGAGAAACTTACGAAGCCGCATTATTCATAGAACGAAGAAAGGCATCCTTCTTCTTATTGATGGGTGGCTCCGAAGGCCCGAACTTTGTTCTCCTTTCTTTGGCTCTGTCTCTGTATTTTGCCTGCAATTGCCATCGAAATCACAAAGACCCTATAATAGACTATAGAGTGTTCTGCGATTTTTCATATAACCCACAATGCAACGCCGCCGGTCATGACGATTACAGAAACCAGCTCAGGCATGGTACAAGTACATTGAGCAACGCACTGTTCTCTGCTCATTTTATTCGCCTATTAAGGTTAGACCATACCAAATAGGCTAAAATGTTTATTATTAAGGAAATCCATCACAACGCCGCTCTCCTGCGATGTTGTCAACTGCAGCAATCGGTATCAGAGAGAGCCACACGGCTTTTTTAGGCTGCCTAGCGTGATCACAACACAAGAGCCGCAGAGCGTCTGGGCTCATCTGAGGTCTGTTGCTACGTTTATAAAAGTAACATTTAAGTCGTGCGTAGTGACACCTTTGTTAGGCGCAGATATGCAGATACGCAGTTGCGTACACATCATTTCAGCAACCTTCTGCATTCTGCATACCTCCCAAATCCCATTGGTTGAAACAAATCGCGTGCCAGCGTTAGTCCATGTCTAGTGTAATCTGCCGATCTGTCATCATACATCAATTCGCCACTTTTTGACATTATCTATAGTATACGTGTTTTATTTCTTCTGCAATAAGAATACTAGTAGCAGGTGGATCCGACTTTTTCGGAGACAAGGTGTTTTGATCCAGCTCGTGGGGTTGGGTCGTTGCTGTTTGCGCTAGAGTTTCAATGAGATTGTACACAGAGGTCAGGTTTCGCAGGGCTTATTATGCGTCCTGCGAAGATTTGCACGCAACAACATATGTTCATGGACTTGTAGTTTGTATTACATCGCGCTTGCTCGTCTCCCTCGCGAGTGTTCAGAATTTCCCGCCGATTTTACTGGCCATATAGCTATCAAAACGCAGCGTTTTAATAACACCCTGGTGTATGCACATTTGCCAACTGTCTGTAAGTGTACGTAGTAATGGAATACTTATTTCGATTCAAACTAAGACAACGTAGGCCAAGGGCATTTCTCATAAAAAAATTGCGTGCATTGGGAACGACACCATACGTCTTCCAGTTTTATATCGTGGGTACTGTATGCGCCAATGTTGTCCATTTACACAACTGGCTCACTCCGGGGTTTATGCCCGACGCACGTTGGTGTTTATCACTCTCCAAGATAACTCTGATTATATTCATGCGCTCTGCTATACCTCGTGCATAAGTAGTCACGATGAATATATGGGACAGGCATCCATGTCAGGCACATCAGTCGTAGTTGTATTGAGAGCCGGGTCTTGGTGGAATTCTGTTCACCGAGATGTTGCATCTGTGCTATTTATGAAGAGTGAATGCCTGCTATGTGCGAAAGGAGAAATACGCACCCCACCAATCATACAACTGCTACTGGATGCCGGGCGATATAGCTTATGTGATATAAGTGTAAATGTTAAGCGCGTGGCGCGACCTCTGTGGCGTGCCGTTCCTGTGTGTTCAGAGGAGCTTTGACGACGCTCGCCAATTTCAGGTGAATCTATCGGGTCAATACTCAGGCGAGTAAGGGAGTAGATGAAAACGATTAAGACATATGGAGAGTAATACATTTCTGTGTTTTTATACTAAGCCATGTGCTTTTTTGATTGAAAACTGCCTCCCAAGGTGTCCTGTGGTCTCCGCCTTCGTCTGCTCGTCATTGTAGAATGTTAGCGTCAGTCTGACGTAGTCAGAGTTCAGACGTTCGGTGACGGAATCCGCATGAGTGTGTCCGTGCGTCGCGTGCGTCACCGTTGGCGTGCCGTGGCCAACAGTTGGCATCAGTTGTACCAAATCCTAACCGCGCGCGTCGACGTAACCGGTACCGATATTTCGGGCACGTGGGGGGGATGTACTCGAAAACCCGAGTGGGAAGTGTCTGAAGCTGGGGGTCAAAGGTGGCAACGGTTCAAAAGGTAAACAGAAGGGGGGAATCGTTTTCCTTAACTTAAGGTCTAGGGAGGCAATGCAGAATTGCGGCAGCAAATCTTACGGCTCGACCTAGGCTTCTATATATGTCGGTAAGTATAGGCGATCCATGGCTAGAAAAAGTCATCACCTGCCGAAATGCAGGTCACTGAGGTGCTTCCAAGAGTCTAATGGGGCACGAGGCAGATTTTAGAGCATTTTTCTGAGGACATGGTTGACGGAGCGATTGAGAAGACTTTTTGTTTGTCAGCGGTGACCTGACCATTTTTTATGGCTTTATTTGAAGAGGACATCTGTTTTCTGTATTTTCTATCTTTATTATTTAAGCTATTTCTTCCAATTAAGGTAAATATTTACACTGATTAGTTTGACGACCAATTTCATAACAACAAATAAGTTTTTACATCAATAAATTTTTTTTTTTTTTAAGAAGTGGGTTATGGGTTAGGGTCCAATGCACCCTAAAAGGTAGGATTCAGGCAAC